AAGATCATCCTCTGGCTGAGAGAGAGCAACCTGAGCAAGAGATGATGCTGTTAATTAATGGCAAGGACTCTGTACAACTACAAGATGTCAAGAACAAAAAAATGGTCTTTAATGCCACACACCTCTTACAACTTAATAGATGAGGTGTCCCTCTTATTTCTACACATTATAATAAAAATGCAGGATTAACAAAGAGTCTTATTTGATGTTATTTGCAGTGATAACAAAAATAAAGCTCATTTATTTTAGCTGACCTGTCAGCTAGAAAGAAAACAGTATCTTCACTGTGATTAGTATCTAGAGTGACACTTATCTCACAACATTATCCCCTCTACATGAAGAGGCCTCCTCTAAGTGTTCCATCCATATATGCTTAATATGTGAATGTTGGGGGATGCAACACCAAGGAGGCAGCTAGAAATAGAGCACCATTACCTCCTGTATGCATGGAGTCTCCTCACATTGATGGTATGTGCAGCAGGCTCACATGTTGCCATTATGGAAGAGACTTTTGAAGATTTAGGGGGAAATATATGTATTTTTCCATCTTAACATCACAGTCACACATTCAGTGGTTCTTCTAGACCAAAACTCAATGAAAATGTGTCTCTATGACCACTTTCCTCCAGAACTGACATAATTTGTTTACTCTGTTTTTACAGAGAATCCAGACAATGCATTCCTTGCCTGCTTTCTTTAGTGGTGCTCTATGTTGCACACACAGAGGGACTTTTCTTCCCATACTGGCTTATGACCATTTTAGAAGGAAAACTGCAGCCCCAAATTGGACAGGAGAGAAAGGCAAACTGCTATTGAGGCTTCTTGTGACTACTGTTCCCTCAATCAGTTATTTCCCTCCATCTTTTCTTCTATTAGTTATTTTCCATACCCTGGTAATGGACCTTTGTTCTTGCAGCAAGAGGAATTTCTTGACAATTTCTTAAATATTTGTGCAACCAGAAGAATTTCTTGTTTGCTTCTTAATGCATGTATGTGCAATTAATATTTTGGACTTGTGACAATATAAAATAAAATAATAAAGCAAGCAAATACATAAATGTATTACTTCAAATGTATTGTTTAACTCTTGGCACCTTCATGACTTTAATGAAGAAAAGCTTTCAGTGTTAAAAAAAAGCTATAGTCTTTTATGTAAAAAACATTATTTTAATAAAATTATATATATATACACACACACACACCAAATATAGAATCAAATATATATTCTCTCTCCCCCCTCCCCCTCCCCACTCTCCAGAACTGTGAGGAAAGTTTAATGGCAGGCAGAATTTGAAGGATAGAAAAACTTTCTCGCTTGTCCACAGGCACAATCCTATGGATGTTCAAAGTCCTACAACTTCTAGAATCCTCAACCTGAAACAATACAGGACATGTTTTCTGTCTGAACATGCCTAGGACTATGCTTTAATTTATAAAAGAAGCCATCTTTAAAAGTGGGGTGAAGAGATAGGGGAGAGTGAACTTTCTGTACAGGAAGAAGTTTCGGAATGATCTAGAAGTAGGAGCAGCAAGATGGCTAGGAATGGGTTTTCATATGGAGGAAAAGGATGGTAGGCTCATCCCATAAATATGCTGATGATCATAGGAAGGGAGGGGAACTTGCTCTTAAATGGGAATCATGTGGAGAGGTGGGACACAACAGTGGAAAAACGGAAAGGCACTGAGGATTTAACCCTGACACTTAAAACAAGTTCTGGTTTTGGCACAAATCAATTCAGGGCAAAGAAATGCACAGACAAACTTAGAACAAGAAAGTAGTGAGTGGGTATGCGAAGGGTGGGGAGAGACAAAGAAACCAATTTTGCAAGAATTGCTTGCTGCAAGGAAGATGAAGAATGGATTCTTTTGTGGAGGAAAACCAAATTATACATTCTTTAGTTGTAGTTTGCTGGCAGTGGAGATGGAGTCAATGATTAACTAGTAAAGGGGGAGGAACTGAGGCTTTAATCTCAGCAGGAGATGTACCATAATTCTATAAACTCTGCTTCTTAATAAGTGTATGAGGAAGGCTGCAAACGCCCACTAATTGAGGGGAAAGCACTCTTCATATGTTCGCAACCATTCTCTTTATCGTCACTGTACCAGTATTTCTATCTGAGGAGTTCACTGAGTCACCTTGGTCAGAGGGCTTTATGGCTGTGCCTTAGTGTTCCTCAGCTGAAAAATGGGACAAGCATTCTCTAAATGACATGAATGTAATGTTATGTATGTGTATTTTGTTGTTATTTTCTTGTTCTTGGCAGGTACCAGGCTGGGGAAGGATGCCACATAGAAAGATTCCAGGTTCATGGTTTGTGCAATATGCCATAGAACTCAGTTTTGTGCACATAGATTTCAGGGAGGGAAATAAAAAGGGTAACATAATACAGGCCAGACTAGGTTGCTGTCAATCTACCTTTGAACCAGAAAGTGCAGCAATTTCTACAAAAAGAGATCCCAGGGTTTGAGTATGTCTGGGTACATTACCAGCTGACCTGGAAGCTCTTCCCTCTAATACTTGATCTCTACACATTCTGCAGCTATGCATTCTGCAGTTAATTGGTGTTGATGGAAATGTATACTGCACAAGCTCAGGCCCACCTTAAATGATTCTTCCTTGCCATGTAGCAGCACTGAGCCTGGCCACTGGAAACACATGCCAGGATTGAATGCTGGTACAAATGAAAGCTCTTCAGTCACTTTTCACTGAACACACCTATGTAAGCAATGCAGGATAAGAGTATGGAGCTTGCCATGCATGACTGGATATTTCTCTGTCTTACTGTATTCTGGTTTTAATGTTAGTGGTTAATATCACATCCAAATATTCAGTTTGGTGTTGTTGTGTGCCATCAAGTCATCTCTGGCTTATGGTGACACTGTGCCCTCCAATATGTCTCATCCATGACAGCCCTGCTCAGCTCTTGTAAACTCAAGGCCCTGGAGTAGAGCCACCTTGTATTTGGTCTTTCTTTTCTTTTTCTGCCTTTGTATATCTATCTATACTACCAAAAATAGTCCAAGAATCTGAGACATATTAGAAATGTACTTGCAGGAAAATGTAAAAATTCCTTTCAGAAAGTCCTCTTTCTATGCTTGCTTAAGCACACTTTCCTGTTCAATGTAATTAGTACTATTCTGATGTTCACTCCAAGTCACATCAGGTCAGAGCTAAACTGGCAGCAGCAGGAGCACAGACTGCTTGGATATGAATTGTTGCCCTTGTTAACCTTCAACAGGCAAATTATGCCCTTGAATTGGTTAATTTGACTCATGAGCAGAAATGTAAATGAAGCGATTTCAGCTTCTCTTCCCTGTTCTATTCCTCAGCTATAAAGAGGAATAGAAGATGGAAGTGCATGAGGGATGCAGTCCATCAAATGCAATCCAAGAGAAACATGTTTTAAATGCTGTTGTTTTAGTGCTCTTGAAGCCGTAATTAATTAACATGCACATGTGGCAATATTTCAGTCTGGCGGAGGACTTTTAAGAGGGCACTGTGCTGGGGGCAGGAAACCGTCTCTTGGACCAGCCATGTAGGAAGAAAGCAGAGGCCGCAAGGTGCAAAATTTGTCTGTGGGACGCTGTGGGCAAAGAAGTCATCGATTGCATCTTGCTTGCGTTCTCTTCCTGCTAAAGCTAGAACCAGATTTGCCCTAGAAGAGGCTGGGAACGTCCTGTCGCTGCAGGTCAGGCTCTGGTCAGACTTGTGGCTTTGGCTTCTCTTACCAGCTTAAGCCTCAGGGACAGACGTAAGAGGAGCAGGCGGAAGCTTTCCAGCGGGGAAAATAACATTTCCATACTAGCCCTGAGAGCCTTTTCTCCAAAAGCATCTTTTTGCTATGATGCGACCAAAACCACAAATCTCCGCGGAAAGCGAAAATCCTTGGGAATTGCATTCCAAGCACAATCACACGAGTGTTTACTCAGAAGAAAATCCGTGGTGTCTACTGGGGCTTCGTTCTGCCTTTCAACTGTGTTTAGAAGACCAGTAATCTTCTGAGAGCAATTACTTGAGAGTAAGGCCGCGCTCCCACCCACACTTACGTGGCAGGAAGTCCCAGTGAACTCCGTGGGGCTTCTTTCTGAGGAGACACGAGGGTGCTGCACGAGCCGCTGAGGTCAAGAGGCCTCAAGGTTTTGCACAGCAACCAACCCCCGAGATCCCTGCTGCTCCGTATACCGGCATTCCTTGCGGTAGCGAGGCGGGTGACATCCACACAGACATCCATCCAAAGGGACTGTGAGGATTGCCAGACGCGTGTGCAGCGTGCGCGTATCTGTTCTCCGCGCTCTTGCGACGAGCACACGCAGTGTACACGCAGCAGCTCTCTCAGGAGGCTTTCACTTCTATGCTTAGAACGAGGCTGCTAAATCCCCAATATCGTGAGAGAGCCCCCGCTCCTCCCGCAGTCCTTTGTGTCGAGACTTCCGCTTCCACAAAGTGCCGCTTTCTTCCACAGCCATTTGCGCGGCGAGATGCGGACAATCCACTCCTCGCGCCTGGGCTTTTGCAGCTCGCGCGCGCGCGCGCCGTGGTTTAAAAGCGCCACGTCAGTGCATGCCCTTTCTTCCCCTCGCCTTGCCTTCTATCTGCACTTTTCAAAAAAAGCGCACCCTCTGCCCTAGCCAGCTCCCCAAATTTCCCTTTCGCACGTCGTTCCTCACGTCCCTGCTCCCTCTCCAGCCTGCTGCTCCCCCCCTTCCCTCTCTCACTGCAGAGCTGCCTCATAGAGCGCTATGTTCCAGGCAGCGGGGAGGTGTGTCTGCTGACATCACCAAAGGGATCCTGCACAGCCCTGGAACGGGGCTCGGTTCGGGCGGGAGAGGGTGACGAGGACGAGGTTCACCGCCTCACTGACTCAACTACTTTGCAGTTACTGTACTTAGGAAGGGGACGGTGGAGGGGCGCGAGGCACTGACAACTTTCAGCACCACCCTTCTTCCCTCCACCCACGCCCCTTGTGCCGTTGCAGAGACGCTCCGGAGATTGCAAACCCGACACAGAGCCGGGGTGCCCGATGCATTAAGTAGTGGGCGAACGTGCATGCTTTTTGTCCATCCCTCCTCCCTTCCACTGGTGGCAAGCTTGTGATCATGCTGTGACAGGTAACGTGCTTCCGCGGATGGGGGATGAGTGTGCGTTCAGGTACTTTCTTTCCCCCGCGCAACTTGCCCCTTTGCTGTGGCTTAAAAGGCTGTGGTGGTGAGATTTGGAGTCCCCGAATGAGAAGAGGAGGATACGCTTCTATTGAACGGTTCACAAGACTTAGCCTAAATGCTAGGGCTTGGATTTGCATGCTGCATACGGTGTCATATACTCGATTTTCTCTGCATGCATGTTTTGGTTGGTTGGTTTTGGCTAGGGCTGATCCCTGTCTTCTAAAGCACTGCTTAAAAATACAGCTGGGTTTTACCATTTTAGCTCACTCAGGAAGACTGGGTTTGACTGCCACCCAATAAACCTGAAGAGATTGTGGCCGGGGTGCTTTGAAAGACGTGTGTATCCTGAATCCTTTTCAGGACCCAGCCTTCCCTCTAGTGCTTTCTTGCTCTTGGTTAATTTGTATGCTCTTCTCTCAAGCCCACTGCAGCCTTCAAAGGTTAGGAAAGGAGTGGAGAAATGCACTTGTTTCCTTACCAGGTTGCCAACCGTCCAGATAAAATAACACGCAGCCAGGTTAACCTGCTATTGTGCCTTTAACAGCACCTTTATTCTACAGCTTTTCATAGCAGAGAGTGACTAAAGTTATGTCTTGCCTACTAATCTGCACATAAATCCATTCCACCTCCATCCCTGTCAAGGCATAATTACAGAGGCTGGCTCAAAAGTTGGCAACCCTGGACTCTTGTGAAATTGTTAACAATAGTATCTTCCTCTTACAGCAAAAGGAACTTCTGAGCAATCTCCTGCTAATACCAAGTCTCCAACTCAGCCACTGCCCAAAGAGAGAGAAAAAGGGAGAGGAAGTGAGAGGAAGACAGTTTTCTTCCACCTCTGCATCACTGGTTGTTGCTCATCCAGTAAGTGGGTGATACTTGCAGAGATGACCACAGATCAACAGCCTAAGCCTTGCAGGCTGTTGGCTCCTCAGGAGCTGCTTCTGATATTTTTTGCTTGCTGAAGAAAAGTGGAAACCAAGAAGCTGGGGAAAGGGTTAAAAGTGTCTTGTATCTCTCTGTGTGCACATGCACACATGTGTGCAACTTCAATTCCCTATCCCAGCCTTTCCCATCCCATTCTTATGGGAATACCTGTGAGGATGCATAGGGTGGACAACGTTGGGGTGTAATTCAAGAGCATCCTGATTTTCTTGCTATGGCCTCAGCAGATGGATTGCAGTATCGGGCTCTCTATGAGTATAAGAAGGACCGGGAGGAAGATCTGGCCCTCTGCCCTGGAGATCTGCTCACAGTGAACAAGGCAGGGCTTGTGTGTTTGGGCCCCAAGGAGGGGGATGAGCGAAACCCCCAGGGCTGGCTGAATGGCTTCAATGAACGCTCCAAGGAAAGGGGAATCTTCCCAGGCACGTATGTGGAGTACCTGGGCCCTGTGAGGATTGCAGCCGCCACAGCCAAAGCCAGACCCAGACCACTGCTGCTGCTTCCAACACCAAGTGGAGCACCTTCCAGCTATCTGCAGGGTGAGTTTGTTTGTATGTTTCCCAAACAAAAAATGTCTGTATGAGACATAAAATATAAAAGCTTTCCAGACTCATGACGGAGTTTCCTATCAGGGCCTTCTGCACAGATGAGGGCTGTGCTCTTTAAATGGTTGGCCTTGAGCCATGTTCTTTAGTATATCGGACTTATCAAGTTGTGCTCCTGCTATCCATGCTCTGGCCCCCACTTCCTATGCACTGTAAACTTTGCTACTAAAGGGGATTTTCTTGAAATCCTTAGGATGCGTTGATAGACTGTATGGTTTGAAAGCAGCGTGATCTCTCACACAAGCTGTAAACACACGGTTTATGCACACAGGTTACGCTGGAAGATGATGCTGGATGCAAGCACTTGAGAATTGAGGCTAGGGTAAGGATGGGAGTGGGGTACTCATCCTGGGCCAATTTTCCAGCTGGCACCTCTTGTTTCACACGCAGGATAATCATTTACATGCAAGCAAATGCAGTGGTTAGCCGAACATGTGGCTGTGTGTGCTGATGGTTGGAAACAGTATTTATACTGGGATTAAGATTGGGGGGATTATGAGGCCATTCTGGCTTTTGTTTCTATGACATACTGCTGACATTTTGAAATGTTTCATCTTGAATTATCCAGATGACATGTATAAAGGGAAGTCTGCTATTAATTAAGAGGAGGCCCAGTGGGTGCATCTTCTTCTTTGAAATGTCTGTAGAGAATCTTGACTGCCAGTTGGATGGTTACAATGATGTGGGAGCTGATGAATATCTCTGCTTCACTACTAAGTGTTGTTGGGGACAGACAAATTTGGCCCCAAGAGAATTGGGCTCAGTTTTTAGCACAGTCACACCCTCATTACATGGGTCAGGGAAGTCACATGCTCTGTCTGAACCAGTTTTCCATCCTGTGGGATCACAGGAAATTGTTAGGGCACATGTCACAAAACTCCTTGATGAAATTGTTTTATTTATTTATATATATTTTCCAAATTAAGGTTGGTCTGTTTTTACTTCAGAAACTGCATGCACACATCAGTTACCTACAGAGAATTCCCATTTTCATTTTTTCTCTAGTAAGTACCTCTATGGATTGACTCCATAAAGGAATTTGCAGCCTAGAGTTTACAAGACCTGAGCAGGGCTGTGAAGGACAGACCATTTTGGAGGGTATTCTTTCATCAGATCACCATAAGTTGTAGACAACTTGATAGCGCATCCCAACAGCAACAAGTAGATCTTTACCCTTTTTGGGACTTGGGATTAGATTGACTATGTGGAGAAAAACAAAATAGTAAAAAAGGATAATGTTTTCAGGGTTAAACATCAAGTTGCTCCCCATCCTGCTTGAAATGGATGTAGAATGCTCTCCTGATATCTATAAGGTAACACTGAATCTGTGGGGGTGGGGGGTTGGCCTGTATGAGCATGCAGTCTATTTTGTTAATGTATGGCTGTGGCAACCAGTGGGGAGACATGGAGACATGGTTGGGAATATGAAAGGCATGTGAGGACTGTGACACAGCTTGTGTTGGTTCTGCATTGGCCACGGCACACATAAGCCCGAGCCAAGCCTGAAGAATTCTGCACTTAAGTTCTGCCATCTGTCCTCCTTCACCACGGACAGGACTCTGTTTGAAGGGCTATTGGAACAAAGTTTGGTTTAAAGATGAAGAACTCTATGAAGGGAGGGCAGGATGCCTTGAAGTTGCCCTGCAAGAGCAGACTGTGCAGGCATAGCCCTCCCTGCTATGGTGCAAGGTACTGTGCTTCTGTTTAAATTATAGCAATTGCATAGATTTGTACCTATATGCAAATATATACATATGTAAAGGTTTGTTTCAGCTTTAATGGAAACCTGTGTGTGAAGAAGTACAGTGTGACTTACTGAAGAGGCAGAACTGTAAAAGCTGGAGTCTGGTGGCACTGATGGTTTTGTGGAGTTTCCAGTATGTTATCAGAGAAATAGCAGCTGGTTTGGTCCTGCATAATCTAAAATATACACCACAGTGAGGCATTACCTTTTATGAGACCAACTACAGTTGTGTTTGTTACCCAGCACAATCCTTTATACACAGTTATTCAAGGTAACTGTAAAATGTGTGGTTAAGTCGAGTGTAAATAAAAAGCTAGAATGTTTAAACATGCAGACTTCCTGCCTTGTGCTTACAGAAGCATCACATAATTTAACCTTATTGTAGGCAAGTCATATGTGCTTTCTCACACTTTGTGTGTAATATATATTATGATGCTTAGATACCTGTGTCTGACAAGTATTACTTCCACCAGTGTTTGAAACCATCAAAATTCTTGCCCTGCTAGCCACATGCCAAATCTTTATATTGATGACAAGGCAGAACATCTGGCACCTAAAAACAGATGTTTCTACTTTCTACCTTGGCTATGAACAGTGGATTTAGCATTGTCTAAAAATTAAGAGTCTGGTCGCTAACTACATTTGCTTGGGTATCGATGGAACTTACTTGGCCAAGTTAAGATGTATAGGCTTGTCATACTGTTGAATGCTGCTTTCTCTCCACACCCCAACACCTAAAATCATCATGGAAATGTTATGCAGAATAAACATGCAAAACAGACCACTTTGCAGAGAATAGTCCTAGCTCTGCCCCAGTAGGTTTGGAGCTAAGTGTAGGATTTGACAGCTTTTTCTTGTGCTGCAAGATATTTGTTGTGCAGATACATGCACTGATTGTATAGACCTCTTATTGAGATCACAAAGGAATTCTTCTAAAGATTTGATGCCTACTGCTTATTCCTTTCTGAGCATGATCCCTTTAATAGATGATTCCTGGGCACGGATATACATGGCAGTGGTGTGTGTGTGTGAGAGAGAGAGAGAGAGATGAATGTGTGAAATTAGTCAGTGGGTACCTGAGAGCCTAATTCTGCTTGAGCACGTCTGCTTGCATAAGTCAGATGTGACATTGCTGTTAGGCTGGTTTACACTGCAGTTCTATGTATGGGTACTTGGAAATAAGACCTATGGAGCCCAGTGAGACGTATTCCCAGGTAGGAAAGTAATGTCAGGAGAAGAGGATCAGATTCCAATATGCTGTTTTTATGATATATTATTGCGGTTGAAGTATTGGCACAAATCTAGTTTTGTTAAAGAGGCAACACAAACAGCAACACAGACAGGTAGCAAAAAGATGCAGGGAAACTCGTGGCACTTCCAGACGAAGGGGTCCTAGAACCACCAGTTGGAAGGTGTTATTCCAGTGCTCTTCCTTTTTCTTCTTAATATATTTGCCTGAGGTAAGGGAAAAGGTGGAAGAAGCAATGGAAAAACAGGAAGTTATGATGGAAACATTTGGACTTCCATATAATTTTGCAGATGCAGCATGTTCAAACCCCCAACAAGTTAAAGTATCAGTAGTTAAGCCAGAACACCTTCATTCTATTTCTCTTTATAAAAAAGATGATGGAAGGGGGGAAAGGGAGAGAGAACAGATGTTCTTTCCTTGGCATTCCCTTCTCAAGTGTTAAAAGTGACACAGTATAGGACTAATATATGTGTTTGTCTGTGTCTTTACCAAACCTCCTACTTTGCCTTTAACATCAACCTCAGACAATGACATTCAGTGAGTGGAACTTTCTTTTAGATGCTACTAAAGTGATGGAAAGGCTTAATTTTTGTATGTGAAGTTGCTGGTCATTTGCTTGTTAAAAGTTTAACAATCCTCGGTCGTGGGTAAACAAAATCCAGCTAGAACTATACATACTACGCAATGTTTTTCATTGCAGCTGAAATTCAGTATTTTTTGAACTGCTACAGCAAATGGTTACCGGCTTTGTTGTAGACAGTGTTGTAGCCTGGGAATCTACGGACAGCACACATCTAGTCAGATACAAGTCTCACTGAATTCAGTGGAAATTATTCCTGGTAGGCAGGACAATTTTCCATTGTATAGAAGTATCTACAGATAATTTTTCAGGCCAATTTCCCATTTTATTTGCTGTGTTTTAAATAGCTAAGCTAATATGGAGTATCTTAAAATGAGGACAAGAAACACTTGACTGCTTTAAGATTATGGATTCTTAGCCAAAACACAAGAACATGAAACAGCTTTAGTGTATAATAAATTATATATCTCTTAATATTATCATTCATGTTTTGCACAGTACTTTGGAATGACCTCTCTATTTGTAATCTAGCTCCCATGTGTTTAGGGCTGGTAATATTCTATACCTATCGGAATGCAGGGGATTAGAAGTCTCTTTCTCCCCTGTAGCTCTCCTCTTCCGTGAAAAGCCAAAATCAGCAGATAGAGACAGCTGTGACAAACTGGGGTTTGATGTTTCAGTGGTTGAAGGGAAGAAAGCAGTGATGGGTTAAAAGCCACACAGGCCCCCCCCCCCCCGAGAGTTCCAGTATAATCCCATATAGTGAGCAGGGTTGATGGGGAAGGGCTTCCCACCCAAATATTTTAGAGGCAGAAAAAGAATGCCTGCTGAAAATGGTTGGCATTGCTGTGTCAATGTCCACTGAGAGAGAGTTTTCAAAGAAAAAATAGTTCACCGAGATAGTGACACTGACTTTCTCCACTTCCAAACACCTTTGTATAACGTGTGACTTGTCACAAGTATATGTGTGGAAAAAATAGGAACTTCATGGATGTGGGAGGCATTTTTCTCAGGGAAATGGGTCAGAAAAATTAATCCAGGGTCCCCAGTCTTTCTGGATTTTTGGGCACATTTAGGAATTTGAGAACGTGCAATGAGCACCAGTGCCAAATGCCTAATCATGGATTGCCACTTTGGGGTCTATTTGTCATGACTTAGAGTGTATCTTAATTCAGCAAAAACATTCATATCTACTGGATACTGCAACATTTCTTTAATAAGTCATTGTCTAATCCAAGTAATTACTGGTGTTGCAGCACAGCAAATGCTTCTTTTAAACACATCTTTTGGCAATTCCAATAGTTGCTTCTTTGGGGGAATAAGATATTACACAGATAAATTTTGTACTGAAATAGTCTTTA